GATTTCAGTTATAGATGTCTTTCGCTCCCATTTTTACGATATCCGTAAATGTTATATTATAAAATTATTATTATTATTATTATGTTATTTTTTATTATCCGTGAATGTTAGCAACTGGACAAATTGAATGCAGCGGTCAAGGAAAAGCGACCAGAATTGGTCAATCGTAAAGGTGTCATTTTCCAGCAGAACAATGCTAGGCCGCACACGTCTTTGTCCACTCGGCAAAAATTGATGGACATTGGTTGGGAATCGATGTTACACCCACCATATAGCCCTGATCTCGCGCCATCGGATTACCACTTATTTCGATCCCTGGACAACTCCCTTCGTGGTAAAACTTTGAATGACGATGACGCTGTAAAATCTCACTTAACTCAGTTTTTGGCCGAAAAGGATCAGACTTTCTACGAGCGTGGAATTTTCAAGTTGTCGGAGAGATGGCAAAAGGTAATCGAACAAAATGGAAAATACATTACAGATTAAACTTCGTTCCAAGTAAAAAAAATTTTTTTATTTCATTGAACAAATCGGCAGTTACTTAGTTGCCAACCCAATATTTTAGATTATCAAAAAGCGTGAACGCGGATTGCTTTCGACGACTACGAACGCGTTGATCGATATGAAAAATCGCAGTTTTCACGAATTCTTTATGCATTCGCAGCAACAATTTTTCATGAATTCAAATTCCCAGAATATTTCTAGGATATTTCTAGAATATTTCGAGATATCAGTTTATTCGAACGCTTCGCAATCAAATTCAATTTTTACACGAATCTGGTCAAAGAATTCCATCGCACGTACACAATCGACAACTGTCGAGCTCGTTTACACATTGACTGTCTAACATCAACGCGAGAATCTGACAAAATACAAGTACAAAAAAAATAATTCAGTTAATAAAACGAAAATGAAAGACGAAGTTTATTTATCGCTTTAACACTAAACCAACCGACCTGTAATGATGATTAGCGTGCATTGACTCATAAGAGTGAAAAGATAGAATTCACTTGGATTTTGTAAAGTTTTAATTACGAGACTTGTTTCAATAATATAATTTATTCAATCATTTTCCACGAAGAAGTCTCCAAACTTTGTAGCACCGTAAAATAAAAAATCGGTCATTTTGATCGTAGGCATGCTACGTTTCACGGTAGAATTCGATCCATTTGAATCCATCGCGGTAAAGTTTTCGCAGCTGGTCAGAGCCTAGCGTTACCTACAGCCGGAAGGCACCAGCTTCCCAGTCCGCGTTAAACGGTCGAAAAACTCCGGCGAAGATTCCGCGGCCGTGACCGGCGTAGCGAATCAGAGAAACAATAACACGCGGCTTGGCGCGTCGAAAAAAGGAACGGCTCGTACGAGAGTAAGTCGAGAAATTACGCGATTCCTCTCACCGAGCCGAGACAGTTAGTTAGGGGGTGGGATACGGAAAATTATCTGAATATTCTGTTTATTTGGTCGAGGGTGAGTGGTGGGTATATATTTCTCGTGGCGAGCAAGTTCAAGCCGCGAGGATGAGAGAGCCGCCGGTGGAGGGAGAACGACGGAGAATCTATGAAGGAGAAAGACGTCAACCTTGCAGAACGAGTGAGAGAGAGAGAGGGAGAGAGAGGCAGAGAGAGAGAGAGAGAGAGAAAGAGAGAGAGGAAGAGAATGAGGGTCGGAGTGGCCGGAGAAGAGTTGTAACAAGAAGGAAGGGGGGGCGATCGGGCCGTTGGTGTCTCTGCTTGGAATTTATAACCCAATGATATCATTTTGTACCCCGGCGAAGCCAAGCCACCCCCGGCACCGACCCTGCTAGAACGGAGCCACGGCAGAGTGGCTGACATCATGGTATATTGCTCCCAGTGATGCTCAAACAGCTTCCACCTTCGATTGCTTGCGCGCTGTTCGCCTATTAAATCCCAAAAGCTTAAAGGACACCCACCCCTTAACGTAGTCGACGAAAAACCGGCTCTCAACCAACCCTGTCGAAACGATTCCATTCAATATGGATATGTTCTTACGGCGGAATAAAAATAACGAATCTGGTTGCTTGATTTTGGTTTTCTTGGTCATTATTTGGACGATAATTTGGACGGTAATAAAAATGCTTCGAGTTTGAAAATGTCAAGTTTGAGGTGGTACAAAACGGCGTTTTTCGAGACTCTATAGTTCACTTTTATGAAATAAGAAATAATTTTAGCTAGTACGATTTAATAGCTCCGTTTTGAAGCTTCTTTTCGATATTTGGTCGGTGATACCGTCGACGAAACGCTGACCATCGGAGTTCGACGTCATCCTAGCAAGAAATTCTATAATTTTCATCGATCGAAACGCCTTTGTTCCCGACCTTCTTGCTTCTCCGAACGATTAGACGTCAATATTGCTTAATAAGATTTTATTCGTCGCTTGTTTCGCCGGAGAAGGGCCGTAAGAATAGGGGTGGAGCGTTAAAGGGTAGCGATCCGAGTGTAAATGAGGATTCTTCGATGGGACAGAGGTATTTATTGCGTTCAATGTACAAGAAAGTCGTTAAACAGAGGCGGCCACGTTGGCAACCACTCCGGTAGAGAATTGTCGAGCGAAATGGTATGGGGCGGAAATGTAGGAAGAGGTGGAGTGGAAGGAGGAGTAGGTGGAGGAGGAAGAGCAGGAGGAGGAGGAGGAGGTGGAGGTGGAGGAGGAGGAGGAGGGTTGAAAGAGGGATTCAGTAGAGGAGGCCGGAACAAGCGTACCAACCCGGAATAAATAAAATCCCCCGTGCCATTACTGAGCGGTAAGGGGTGCTACTCTCTACTCCCGAACTCCTCTTTTACCACCAAACCGTCGTCGAAGTCGAGGAGCCGTTGTACTCGAACATGTTCGGTCCGATTCTCTCTGATCACTGTGGGATCGCGACGTAACTTCGTTCACCCCGGTAAATACCCGGGAACTTCTTTAGAAAAAAACTTGCTTTCTCCGCGACCGCGCTCATTAAAATCATCTTTCACGATCGAACTGCTTTCGCTCGAGCGACCCGTTGAAATTTTCGATTCTGTATCGCGAACGGGAATGATTTATATGCAGCGTGGTCTCCGACGAAGTAACAGTGGCCATTTAAATGTATCTTTTCTTTATACGATTTGATTATGGCAAGGTTATTTTGAACGCACCGCGAACGATATATTTTGTGTTACGGTCAATTCTTTCTGAAAATTAGTATTATATGGAGATGCATATTTTTGTCCTTACATTATTAATATTGAAAGAGATGTTAACGTTATCTTCGACTCTTAAAGTTCACGATATTCGTTTTCGTTTCAAATTAAAGTATCTCCCGGACTAATGATCTGCGACCATAAATGGCTAGGTGAAACGAAAACACAGCGTTTCATTTAAAAGATAAGAAATATTGTACACCAGGGGTGTCAAACTCGCGGTCCGAAATGAACATTTTTGCGGCCCAGTCAATATATCCGACGCAAAGTAAAAATAAAATAGAAATAGTCTCGGCCAATAAAATTTCTTCCGAAATAGGAAAGATAGTATCAGAGAAGAGATGTCAAGTATCAGGACGTAAACGATAATTTAACTTTATATATGTTTATTACAATGTACTAGTCAAAATAAAAATATTTGTTTCTATGAACATTGATTTTTTTTTGCGGCCCACCTAAAGTTAAGCATCGTTTATTTGGCCCAAGTTAGCTTTTGAGTTTGACACCCCTGCTGTACACCCTGTGTAACTATTGTTTTTCTTCGTCACATTTTCGCAATTAAGAGGTGTCCCAGAAACATGCCTCTGTATTTTCGCCAAACATAACCGAGCTACGGTTACACGCTTTTTTGGTCAAGATTACGGTGGATTCGCGAGAAAGATTAGAAGAAAGACGCGAGTCGAGCATTTAGCAACGGGACACGTTAGAGCCAGGAATAAAGGCGGAGAGGTCCGATTGGCGAGAGGGGGTTTTCTTTTTTTTTATCGTTTTGTTCTTCGTTCTCGCTCGACGAGATAAAATAGGGACGCGAATAGGTGGAACGAAAGGTTCGAACCTGCGGAGAGAGAAGCGCGACTACATAGGGACGGAGGAAATAATAGTGAAGGAAGAAAGCACAGAGAACGTGGCGGAACCCCCGTTTGCCCGCATCCCATTGATTTACATCTTGCCTTTGCGCAGAAAGAAAGAAAGGACGGAGGAAGAACGCCGGGAAAAGAGAGGAGCGCGTAGTTGAGGGGTGGCCGCACGATATCAGCCGTTTGTATGCGCGGTCGACGCCAAACTTTGCTGAATTGCCCTATGACTCCTTATATCCTATCCTCCGAGCACGCCCTGTCTCGTCCTCTTACGATTCTACCCTCCGCTATGGCTCTCGAGTCGTTATACCGATCTCGAAGAAACCAACCCCGCGTTTCCTCTTCCCGCCCCCGTCTTCGCTCTCTGCGTCGCCCCTCGTCCCTCGACCTCCGCCACTCGTTCGAGGATTCTAACAATTCCATTACGATGAGACAACAATTTTTTCTTATCGCTGGTGCAAACTGTTTAGTACGAGACGAGCTGCGTAAGTGTGCGAATCGAACGCGTCGTTTTATCACGCGTTTCGCGGGTGGAAGCGTTAGATACCGACATTGCGAAGTTCGAAAAAATGGACACGCATATTCTAGTTGTAAGAATATATGTAAGTGTTATGTAACTATATATGCAACTGTTATTATCCGTCTTGTGTTCTTCTTTGCTTAACCCCTTAACTTGTACGCTCGCGTTAATTCGAGCAAACAGGCCAAACTGTGCACACTCGAGATAATTCGAGCGGCGTTGTATTTTATGCTGCTATAATTTTTCACGCTCGAATATAATCGAGAATTGAAAATAACAATGTGAAAGCAAAGAAAAAAAGATCGTTTTATTGATATTTATCATTTACATGGGATTGTAAGCTGTAACACTTATTTATTCAAGAATAAAATATAGCCTTTTTCCATGGAACAAAAGCGCGCTATATCAAAGTTCTCCACCAAAAATTGATTTTTTTTGGCCGGTTTTTTTTTCAAAAAAACTGTGCGTTAAGGAGTTAATAAAATCTTTAATGATTACTTTCGATTAAGTCAACTCTCGAAGTGAACACTTTTATCACTGTATGGTGAAAAATATGGTGGACTGAAATTGCCATTAGCGACTCGCAGTTTTAAGATAAACATTTTTGCAGAGGACCTTTATCAAAAATTTGCACACGTTCTAGCAAAATAAAAATGTTATGTCAAGGTTATGTCAAGGCTATGAAAATTATAAAAATGTTCTAAATCAACGATTTTCTTTCTTTAATAATCCCAACAACTTAAAGGTATTAAAATACCATTTTAAAATATACCCTCCACGCGTCGGTTATATTAACCCTTTGCACTCGAGTGGTGACTCTGAGGCACCACTGAAATTTGTTATATCACGTTCTAAGATAATTTTTACATTAACAAAGTTTAGATTTAAAAAAATTGTTAAAAGTGTAACCGCAAGTTGCGTAAGTCGCAAGACTCAATTTCGCATGCATAAAATGAAATTTTGTCATATAAAATGAAAAAGCTATATAAGTCAGAAAAATTATTTTAGATTTACAGTTGAAATAGCTTCGAGTGCGAAGGGTTAATTTCTAAGTACCTAACGCTACGATAAATCCGTGTATTTTGCAACAGCGACTTCGAAGCTCCCTTCGACAACTTCCATTTCGTTCGGGCAAGTACGCATCGTCCATTGCGGTCGCGGAATGATCGTATCGTTACAAATTAAATCGGGAATAAGATATTCATAGCGGCGTCCAAATGAATAGATTATGAATATTAAAGTTGTTGAGCCGCAGTAAAAGCATCGTTTAATACTCCATTATCCGGCGTTACAGCGGCCCGAACCGCGTTACACTCGTAGTCGATTTTCCCGCGGATCCCACCGTTCGTTCGCTTTAATGGAAAATCCCGTGTTTGTCACGCTATACATAAATTTTTAGCGACACTCGAAGTCGCGATGCCCTCGATTATACGTGCGCAAAGTGTTGCGCGTATGTACGGTCAGAATTTTTGGTACTCACTGTTGTATTCGCCGGGATCGCTGGGATCCAATCGTTTCGCTCTGCGCCCATGTTTACTGTTGTTGTGGACGAACATGTTGTCCGAGACTGCCAGTAGCGGTCCCTCTACTCCTACTTGCGTGGAAATGACCACCTGTTACAGAAGGTTGAAATTCGCCTACGTGAGATTTCGGTCAAAAATGCCACCAAACTGTCGGAGCTAGTAACAGCAATGTCTCCCTAATTGACGCTCAGATTGCGCACAAAAATCGACAGTTTGGGAAGAGGAGATACGATTATTCCAGCTTCGCGCTTTGTTTTTCTAATCGTTGACGATCGGTCAACTGTAAAAACGAGCCGCGAGCCTCGAATAATCTAAATCTTCTCTTCTTAAATTCTCTATTTTTATTTTTCACAATCTGAGCGTCGATTAGGGAGAATTTACTGTGATTCTAAATGACGCTCAGATTGTCCAGAAAAATGGACAGTTTGGGAAGAGAAGACACGATTAATTATTCGATATTTATTCGAGCCTTGCGGCTAGTTTTCATAGTTTCTGATTGTCAACAATTATAAAAACGAGCTGCAAGACTGGAATAATCGTATCTCCTCTTCCCAAATTGTCCATTTTTGTGGACAATCTGAGCGTCAATTAGAGTGACATTACTGTATACTCGTCGCGCGTAAGAAGTAGCGACCGTTGGCTATTTAAATTGTAATTTGAACAAAGACAAAAACGTATTGTCACAAATCTCAAGATGTTTAGAATATTTTGAGACCAGACCAGAATAGAACAAACAAGTCAAAAATATGAATAATTACATAAATAATTCACGAACACAAGAAGTTTGGTGTTCGACGTGCGAAGTGCCATTATGTATTTGATTTTTTCCGCGTTTCTCGTTTATTATCTATGCAGTATACATTAATGTTGAGTGAGTAAGTAAATATTAGTAATAAGATTGTTAATTTTATAAAATAAACTTTGCGTTCGACGAGTATACACGTCGTCGCTTGATTCTCGCGACAAATATAGGTGCACGCTCTGAAAAGGAGGCGCCACAGCTAACTGGTTAATTACAAATGAAACACGGGAACGATAATATTAAAAGGACAATTTAGGTTTAGGTTCAAGCAGTTTTCAAAGTTGCGAATCGTATAAGAGTTTTCAAATATTTTCGCGGAGCGCTCGGGAAACTGATTGTTATTCGGTTATTTGTGATATAAGCTTTTATAACATATTTCTAGGATACGGTAATCGACGAGGTTTGTTTTTCCGTATATAGGGTAGTGCCTTTGGATCGTTTTTGGGCATAATTGACTTTATAGATATATTACATTTTCTCATTCTTTTATTTCGTTTGTTATTTAATAAAAAAATTTAGTATATCTTATCCGATAAATATAAACCCTAATTAGCTTCTTGTTCCTATTATAGTCCTTGTAAAAAAAAGACTAAAGTTCCTTTCTGCTTATATAATACTTTGGAACGTGCATTATTCCTAACCAGTAAAAAAATGCGCGGTTAATGTCAAGAAGTACTTCATCGTAACGCGAAATGATCGATAAAACGCAATTCGTCGGACGAGATCGTAGATTCCGTTTCGCAATTGGCTTCGATAAAAGTTCGCAACGCCGTTCTCGGATTTTGTCGCAGACGCGGCCGCGTTCGCGCGGATTCCCGGGCGAAGCAAAAGGGGGGAACCAAAATGAAGTTGTTATCACGGCTCGGAATTTGTTTAGGAATTGCTTATTACTCGGAGTTTCGAATTAAAATTTTAGCGGCCGAGGTTTAGCGCCGCCTCGAAAATTCCACCGGCGCGGGCGGCGAAGGACCGTCAGGTTTTACTCAAGCTTGCAAGTTCGCACTACGTTACGCGCTAGGTAATACGGCCAACTAGCCAAGAAAGTTGGCGGAGTCGCGAAAGGACAAAACTTCGGGCGTTTACCAACCTCCCGGCCGATTTTATAAACGTTCTTTCTACTTTCTCCCGAAAATCATCGTCCCCTTGTTTGCGCCCGAAAAACTTCCGGTTAAATACACGGCTTGTTTCAATTTGCCGAAAGTTTTACAACGTTCCCGCCGCCGCGGCGGCGCCTATCAAACAGAAATACAATACATAGCATAATACGTATCGCGCGCGAAAAAGAGAAAGCGCGACGCGTTCAGTTTGGCGCGCGCGCGCGCGCGTTCGTCCCGCGATAATTATAATCACGCGTGCAATAATCATCGTTCTGAAATATTTAAATAGGATATATGTATACAAACATTTTCTGCCGTGACGTTCCGAACGTACAACGTAGCTATATCCCAAGATTCGGCCTTAATGAGATTATATTCATACATTTGTATGATTGTATCTATCACACGTGCAAATAGGGGGGGGGGGTCACGAGAGTCACGAAATACATGGCGAATATCGCATAACGCGATTCCGCGAATCAGACTGCATTGCTCGTTCACGGGCTCGTGTGATTAACTGACGGGGCATGACGATAAATCTTCGAGAACAATTCAATTTACTATTTTATTCGCAAATTGTATAGACCGTGGTATCCCGCGCGGAATTTCATGACCTTGAAGTTTGTTATAAAGGTTGATATCTCTTGTAATTTTGTTTAATTTTCTTTAATTTTGCAATCGTATTTCGCCTTTAGTTTCCAAGGTACACGTTAGCGCCCTGTTTTACAATATATAATGTAATATATAATAATATATAATATAATGTATAATAATATATAATATAATATATAATAATATATAATATATATAATATAATATTTCGCGAGAGGGATTAAAATTATCGAAAATAAATAAAAAAATAAAAAAAATAAATTAAAAATTCCTACAAAAGGGGAACGTTATTTCCGGTTCTGTTCATTGGCTCGGTCGCCTCGCTCCAGCTGATCTCGCCTCTCATTGGTCACCGTTTTCCGTGAATAATTCGCAAACAAAACGGCGGATCGCATTTGCGCCAAGGAAAAAGTTGCTTCAAATGATCTCAGGAACCCCTCATTTCCCGGANTATAGACCGTGGTATCCCGCGCGGAATTTCATGACCTTGAAGTTTGTTATAAAGGTTGATATCTCTTGTAATTTTGTTTAATTTTCTTTAATTTTGCAATCGTATTTCGCCTTTAGTTTCCAAGGTACACGTTAGCGCCCTGTTTTACAATATATAATGTAATATATAATAATATATAATATAATGTATAATAATATATAATATAATATATAATAATATATAATATATATAATATAATATTTCGCGAGAGGGATTAAAATTATCGAAAATAAATAAAAAAATAAAAAAAATAAATTAAAAATTCCTACAAAAGGGGAACGTTATTTCCGGTTCTGTTCATTGGCTCGGTCGCCTCGCTCCAGCTGATCTCGCCTCTCATTGGTCACCGTTTTCCGTGAATAATTCGCAAACAAAACGGCGGATCGCATTTGCGCCAAGGAAAAAGTTGCTTCAAATGATCTCAGGAACCCCTCATTTCCCGGAAGTACCATAATTTTGGGACAATCTGTACGCAGAACTTTTGAACTAACTATATACTTGAGCATATAAACTTATTTATAATTAGATATTTGGACAAATCCTCAGATCCGACAGGTTAGAACTATAATTTTTGCTTCGAAGACGAAGATAGAACGCAGACAAAGTAGATATCGCGCGACAAAAGAACAAGAAAGGAAACGAAAGGAAGAGAAAGAGCGGCAGAAAGACGAAGACAAAGTTTTTGGTAATTTATTTTTTAATTCTATCTTTTCGTCTGGACATGGCCGGAGTGGCGAGATATGGCTGTCGGTGAGTAGGAGAAACCGTAATACGGAGATGGGGTGGAAGGGTGAACGGATATAGAGGGGTGGGTCGGTTGATGCCGCGCTGAGCTAATTGCCAACCCCTTGGATTACGTCTCTTGGATGGGGATCTCAACTTTCGACGATAGCCGACCACCATCGAGAAATTGCTCGTTTCCTCGACGAACTTCTTTTCCTTTTGGAAATTAAAAAAGAATGCCTCCGAGTGGAGGGTACGCATTCTCAGACGCGCTACACGGCGATACGCCCGCCCCGTTCCGCGCCGCGTCGCTCGTCCTGCTCCGGCACGCAATTCCTGGGGACTTTCGGCGTTCTCATCTCCCCACAGCCCCCGTCTTCTCCTATAATTTCATGAGTCGTGACTCGAATGACAAACGAATTTTGTACCGCGTTATCCGTTTTCCGAAAATTTTCCCACGATTTCGGCAACACCGCCGACCGAACGCATCGTGCCGCTAAATCTCAAATATCAGGTGTAGAAATATGCCCCGCAGTCAGATACACACACCGGCTCGAATATTTGTGGCAGAAAAGCAAACCTTCCGGATATTCTGCAGCCACGAGATCCATCTTCTGTTAAAACATCGGCTAAGTTAAGGATTTTTGTGAGTTCGGAACGAAGCAACGGTGTTCTTAAATTCTTCTAAAACTTCTTTAAATTCTTCTGTGTTTCATAGATAGGTTATAGTCATAACTGAGGGTTTCTTGATACATTTTCCAATAGCAATAACAATTTTAATCGTGGAACGACAATTCGCCCCTAGCTGCGCGATCTAATAATTTTACGTTTATTTTTGTTGTGCCGCAATAAAAGGTCCTGCAATAAATGCGTTAAAGTTCTGGAAAACGATAGTATTTTGTCTGCGTTTTAACTTCGTACATCGTTCGGACATATTCATATAGTGTTAACAAAAGAATGACATGTTGCACGTATTTCTCGTTTAACACTTTCCACTTTTCCATTAGTTGAATTTTATTCCAAGTCGCAGTCTTCCGAGTTCCATGTTCAACAGAATAGCATAGAAACTATGCTAAGACTAGTTTAATTTTTATTTCCTAAAGCAACGCGGTGTTCATTTCGAAAAATATGATAAAATTGCGAGCAAAATTTACGCAAATATCTAACAAATATAAAGTCCCCGTTCTAGTTCTGCTTTAAAAGAAAAGCGCAGCCCGACACACTCTGGTTCTCGACTCGAGGAATAATGTAATAATATATAAATGCGAAATTTTGATAGGGCGTCTGTTTTAAATAGAAGTCTAAGGTAAATAGAAGATTTCTTGCAAAGCGTATATATATCTCGTAAAAGATTTAAGTGTTAACTCACCTGGAAGCGCCTCATATCGCGTGGGTTGCCGGCATTCTTAAGGCAGTTCTGGTTGCACTTGAGAAAGAACTTAAGGAAGAATCTGAAAGCAGGGGAGGATTGCAGTTAAACAGTTGACAAGGTGCTTAACGCTTTTCAACGTCGAGAACTTAATTAGAACGCGAACTTGGCCGGAAACTAAGTCTGAATATTGCATAAGCCAATCGCAAGCCCTCTTCTACTCGCCTCTATTATTCAGCATTTCTCTAGATTAAACCCTCGACCACGTGTTCTTCGACCTTTAGGACCGGGAGCACGGGCGCTATATATGCTGCACCCACTGCCGCGTCTACCGTGTCCGTTTACCAAAATGTCAAATACCATATTCTTCGAAAAACATTCGCCGACCGGATAATGGATTAGATAGTGCCACTCTAATTTTACCGAACGCTTGCTGGCACATAACTCGGGGCAAAGGCGTCGATACGAACTCTCGCGCAGATCTGCCCGGTTCAAACGATTACGTATAATACTCTGTTTCTAACGTCTCGCAAAAATAACATCGCCGAATTAATTTCGATTTTTGCTTGTTCAATCATTTTCTGGAACAAGGAAGAAACTTTATGGATTTAATAAATACATCTGGAAATACTAAAGTAGTTGGATGATATATTTGCCATTGAATTCGAATACACGACGAAGCTTTCGGTAATCGCATTATTATTGCATGCCGTGTGCATTGAATGAAACACGATCTATCACCAGTAATACGGGGGTCGATCAAATATTAACTGGAAATCTGCAACGTGTGTTATTGTGCTAAATTATTACCTCGACAGCTGTTAGAATGAATTTCTGCGAAGAAGATCACTCGATTTTCGATATTTTTATCGTCCGACTTGCTTTTCTCTGTTTGAACGATCTTATTTTAGAGCAATCGACGATACGCGACTTTTGTTCATGCAATTTCGGATTCATGGACTCGCGTAGAAATATTATTGTATACAGGGAGTGAGTCCCAAAATTATGGTATTTCCAGGAAATGAGGGGTCCCTGAGGTCGTTTGAAGTAATTTTTTCCTAAGCGAAAATGCAATCCGCGGCTTCGTTTACGAGTTATTAACGAAAAACGCTGACCAATGAGGAGCGAGGTCGGCTGGCGCGAGACGGCCGAGTCGATGAGCGGAACCGGGCTTCGTCTGCTGATTGGCTCGGCCGCTACGCGCCAGTCGAGCTCGCCCCTCATTGGTCAGTGTTTTTCGTTAATAACTCGTTAACGATGCCTCGGAGAAAATTTTTGTAAAGGAAAAAGTTGCTTCGAATGACCTCAAGAATCTCTAATTTCCCGAAAATACCATAATTTTTTTGATACTCTGTATCGAACGAGAATACTTGCTTTTATTATACTAATGCTTCACATCTATCGAACGTTTATCACGATCTGAGATTATTATTCAGTGATATTTTTTATCATAGAACGATAATATCTTTATAAATAATAAACGTGTAAATAATAAACGACGAGCGTAAGAGAAAGGGTTACGGTTGAAAACCGGCGGACCCGTCGTCCATGAATTATGCAGAATATCGGGGGATATTGAATCGGAGAAAAATTTCAAGGGTGTTCGTGTGTTCGCGTCGATGGCAGAGAGAAAAGGCAGGAGAAGACAGCGTGAAAGAGAGCGACGAGCGAAGCGAAACGCGAATAATCTCTATAGATGGATCGGAGATGGATCTAGAGAACGGAGAAACCGCGTAGGAAACAATTAGGAGGACCGAGACGATGAAGAGGTTTAGGGGACGAAGGGGTAGTTTTCTGGGTGGCTGGTAGGCCAGTCCTCCCACGGGACGCCATTGTCATCCCCCAGCGGAGTGCGTCCATACGATCCGGGACTCCATCGAAAAATCAAACGCATACCTTCTGCTAGCAACGCCCGGTTTTTTCCTTTCACGTTTGCGCGAATGGCCCCGGCGAAATTGTAAGAGGGATTCGTCTGTTTCTTTTTGCTGCCTCCCGTTCGTTTCGATATTTTCCTTCGGCAGCGGCGTCCCCGTCTTTGTCTTTGTCGCATCGCTCGCGTTTTTCGCTTCGGAAGCCGCGCAACCGGAAGCAAAGCCGCGTACAGTGGCCAGCAAAATTCAACCGATGCGAGTGTTTCCTCTTCAAAAATTATAGTTTATTTATACAGGAGTGTGCACAATTATAGGCTCGAAGCAACTTCTACGTCGTTACAGATACATAAACGAGAACTTGACAAAATATTATATTTGTACAATTAATATATAAATTTTCTAAATACCCAAATACGGTGTTTCGTTAAATGTTTGTTTAAACATCGCTGAAACTGTTATATTTATTTCGAGCGTATAATTATTCACTGTACGTCCGGTTGGGAAACGAAAGAAACTAGTGGTGTGCGTTAATTTACAATTTTTCCAATGTAATAAACAGATAAGAGTTTTACTGTACTTTATATAGTTTTCCAGTTGCATAATTACAGTTCTGACTCAATTTCTCGTTTCACTACGAGGTAAGATAGAAAATAACAAATTTAAGTGGATTTAACATTTTCATCATAAACACTTTATATCATAAATATATTATTATTATTATTATTATTATATCATTATTATTATATTTATATCATAAACACATCATACACTTTCATTTCCCATTAATTATGTAACGGAGAATCATATTCGTCCCGTAACTGTCTCCTTCGGTATTGCCCAAAGATTCTCTATCGGATTCGTGAATAAATGATCCTTTTTTCACAAAAAGCACTCGTATTGGCTCAATTTTGCTCCTCTCTGTACCAGATGACAGTCGACGTCGGTCCGTTTAATTTTACGGTCGGTCACAGGGATAAGATCGTTCAGATGCTGCGTTTACGCGCACGCCGACTATGGTCTCTATCATTGCGCTGATTTATCTCGCGCCCTGTCTCATCGGCCTATCCGTCGCTGCCTTTTTTATTCGTCATAAAGCATTAAGGGGCACGGCAGCGCCATTGGCAATATAAATAACGCGCACCGCCGAAGAATCACAAGGCCGTTAAACCGCGTTTGAAACACGTGTAATCGTCCGAAGTAATTCCGATCCTGAACACTTATCCGGCGCTGAATCAAATTTGATCTCGCGATAAACAAGCCGTTCGCGATGCTTTACGCGCTCTCGCTTTTCTCGCTGCTTATGCGTGCGTGCACTTTGAGAAAATAAGTGCTGTCGAGCGGATTACAGTAATGTCTCCCTAACTGACGCTCAGATTGTGCAGAAAAATGGACAATTCGGGAAGAAGAGATACGATTATTCGAGTCTTGCGCCTCGTTTTTATAGTTGTTGAGAATCGGTAATTGTAAAAACAAGGCGCAAGACTCAAATTAATCGTATCTCCTCTTCCAAAATTGTCCATTTTTTCTTCACAATCTGAGCGTCGGTTAGGGAGACATTACTGCATTGGGCTCGCGGTTGCGCGCAAAACAGGATAAAATGCGAATTTCATTCAGCGATCGTCCGGGTTAAACTGACTCGAACTCGTCCCTGAAGAGCGAAGGTCAACGCTACAACTTTATACTTTATAAAATCTTATGAACCATTTCAAATGAATTAAAATAAGATCAAATAATAATAAAATCAAAATAATCAAACCATATGAAACCAATCCAAACGACGGGTTTCTGATTTTTCATTTGCAATTCCTGAAGTTATACGAGAAATGACGGAAATACAGAATTTTCAAGCAAATCTGTTTGGCAAAAAGAAGTCGCCGGCGTTGCACGATAAGTCTGTAAAACAGGTAAGCAGGGAGACCGAGCATTCGCGTGTAATAAAAATCAGACGTTTCGTATGCGCCAACCTGATAGCTCGATTCGGAGTTACAGTAATGTCTCTCTAATTGACGCTCGGATTGTCCGCAAAAATGGACAATTTGGAAATAGCAGATACGATTATTCGAGTTTTGCGGCTTGCTTTTATAATTGTTGACAATTCGTAACTATAAATACGAATCGCAAGGCTCGAATAATCGTATCTCCTCTCCCCAAATTGTCCATTTTCGTGGACAATCTGAGCGTCAATTAGAGAGACATTACTGTATCTCGAAAGAAACGAAAATTCGCCATTAACGAGAATTACAAAGACCGGCTTGTAACATACACGGACAGATAGTAACATATGCCGCAGATAGCATCGTGTAACGCGCATATTACCGTAGATTTCACGCGGCTGAACTATCTAAACGAGATGCTGTTACCGCGAGCCGACCGGTGAGAGCCCATACAAATTGTCAACTGATTGTGAGTCGGATGTTTGGCACGGGATCCGTACAGTTCGGAAAAGTGAAAGGGAAAAATGAAAACCGATCTCCCCGGATCCCCTTGTTCGCGGCTGAGTCCGGAAGGGAACGCCAGCGAGATATAAAGAGGGAAGGAAGCGTAGGTGGAGGAGGCGGAGGGCGGATNCACAATCTGAGCGTCGGTTAGGGAGACATTACTGCATTGGGCTCGCGGTTGCGCGCAAAACAGGATAAAATGCGAATTTCATTCAGCGATCGTCCGGGTTAAACTGACTCGAACTCGTCCCTGAAGAGCGAAGGTCAACGCTACAACTTTATACTTTATAAAATCTTATGAACCATTTCAAATGAATTAAAATAAGATCAAATAATAATAAAATCAAAATAATCAAACCATATGAAACCAATCCAAACGACGGGTTTCTGATTTTTCATTTGCAATTCCTGAAGTTATACGAGAAATGACGGAAATACAGAATTTTCAAGCAAATCTGTTTGGCAAAAAGAAGTCGCCGGCGTTGCACGATAAGTCTGTAAAACAGGTAAGCAGGGAGACCGAGCATTCGCGTGTAATAAAAATCAGACGTTTCGTATGCGCCAACCTGATAGCTCGATTCGGAGTTACAGTAATGTCTCTCTAATTGACGCTCGGATTGTCCGCAAAAATGGACAATTTGGAAATAGCAGATACGATTATTCGAGTTTTGCGGCTTGCTTTTATAATTGTTGACAATTCGTAACTATAAATACGAATCGCAAGGCTCGAATAATCGTATCTCCTCTCCCCAAATTGTCCATTTTCGTGGACA